AATAATAATGACAATAATGATAATAATAATAACAACAATAATAATAATAATAGTAATAATAATAATAATGACGGTGATAATAATAATGATAATAATAATAATAGTAATGATAACAATACAATAATAATAACAATAATAATAGCAACAACAACAATAACAATAATAATGACAATAATGACAACAATAACAACAATAATAATAACAATAATAATAATACGACTTGAATTTATGGCATTTTCATCAATTGCCGAAGAAATTCCAAGCTGGTAATCTTGCTTTTACAGCTTTATGCACTTATACGCACACGATGAGATCAGAAACCAAAAAAAATTTGATGCATCGATGGAACGAGGGAAACAAACACCGACAAGTCAGCCAACAAAAAAAAATTATTCCGAAAAATATAAAAACATACTCTGAATGGAACGATACAGGACTTCATATGCCTGTTCCAGTCTGCCGGCCATTTCTTCAATTATCTCCATTCTGAAGAAAAATTTAATAGCCTAAACGGTCTAATAATTGTGAAATCTGTTGGAATGCTTCCAAAAATGCAGCGTTATCACTTAAAATACAAAAACAATGCCTAACAAGTGCCAGGACTGACATAATTTCGTAGCAAAATTTTATTAATCTAGTCTGTAATAATTCCTTTTATAAAATTCTAACTTGTAATAATTCTAGCTTGTAATAATTTCTTTTCTAAAATGTAACAAAATCTACAAATTTCGTAATAAAATACAAATCTCGATAACTAAAGAGAGTAAAATCAGGCAAGGAATTGTCAGATTCTGCTAAACTGAAACACGTAAACTTCTGTTAATGCCCCCAGAAAATGCCAGTTGAAACAAAACTAACGAAAAATACCTTCAGTTGTTAAGAAGTACCACATTATTTCACGTGACAAGAGCTGCAGACACCTTTTTACAACTCAAATTTTAAAAAAAAATTTTTTAAATGAATTTATCGGCCAGTATCACATGAGATGGCGCTTTCTTTTCCCGCAAAACAGCAAGGAAGAAAAGAACTCACGCAGCAAGGTGCTCGCCAGATGAACGAATAAGTTGCTTGCTATCGCTGTGAATTTGCTTCACACGTTGTAGGGCCGAGAAAAACTTCGAATCAATTGTACCATCTGAAAATTTTTGCGGAATTACTCGATCCCGCTGGAGAATCTTTGAAAATAACCTCGCTTAAATTCAAATTTTCGGAAATCAGAACTAATCTATGGTAACATAATCCGATCCTGAACAAGTGATATCAAAAAAAAGAATTCAAATCGAAGTAATAAACTTCGCTGATCCAACGAAATAATCGAAATATTAAACTCTGCAGGGGTCCAACGATATCTGGTTTAAGAAGACTTCAGCAGAAACTAAGAGAATTCTGTTCTTGGAATTTTAAGCGAAATGGTAGAGTTCCAGCAATAAACAAGCAAGAACAACCGGCAACAAACAAGCAAAAACAATCAAAAAACTCAAAGGAAATACTAAAAAAATTGGAATTTCAAGTATGAATTTCAAAAAATTCGATAATCCAAGCTTATCTCCCAGATGGAAAGAAAATCCATATTACATAGTTAAGAGCTATTCGAGCTATTTTTCGCCTCTTATAGAGCGTGAATGTGCGGGAAGGTAAGGGAGGGAGGCGGAGGGGAAAACAGGGGGGGAGGGGGCGAGGAGGGGATGAATTCGCAATTTTTTCGATTATTATTTTGCATAAACCAAAAAAACTCGCCTGTTTCGGAACCCTTCAGAGCAAGTTCCTCCTCTGGCGTCAGTGAATAGCGATTCAAAAACTCATTTATTGCTGCCTGCTTCTTCTCAAGTGATCTTCTGGAAAAAAAAAAGCATACGCAAAAACTTTCCCAAAAGTTTTTTTTGCATAAAGCCACCAGCTCTGCTATTGGTAAAAAAGGACGAAATTAATTTTAATTTATTCACATTTCCTTTTTTTATTTCCTTACATCTTACATAAACATATACCAACTAAAATTAAAATAACAAAGTAAACGGTGCCGGGAACAAAAAAAAAAAATCGGGGCCGATTCCCTCATCTACACCTCAGTTACTCCACATCTGAGAAGTGTTGTGCGCAAATGTGATACGATATTTAGGTTGTTCAGCCGGGACTTCAAATCCGTTTGAAATAAATTTGACAATTTGCATCATCTAATTATCAGAAATCAAAGCTTGATAACGCAAGATGTTGTAATTTCGGCTTCGAGAAATTCCTATTTTTCGGAAATAGGTTGCTTTTTAATATCAAGCGGATAAGGTTTCCTTGATGACTGTATTGGCAACAACAGTGCTGCTGTTATATACGTGCACCATTCCCTCTTTCTAAGATTTTTTATTCAGCAATAAAGCTTGTTCTTGTTCTT